TCCTTCGGGAGAACAGTGCTTTGGGATAACGATGATGCTGGAAAGTGGCAGTGGGAACCCAGCTCTGAGCAGCAGTAGGTGGGTATGGAACCTTAGGAAGGCAACTTGAATTTCCTGCAGACTTGATTGTTTGTGTGATTGGGATCAGTGTGCTCAATGTCCTGGCCTGCTGCCCTCCCAGGAGAATGAAACCAACTTCATGAACCTCGGCAGACTTTGTTCAGCAAACACTTATCACTGAGAACAGCCCTAGCTTGGCAGCACAGAGGAAAATTTGCCCTTTAGAGGCAATCAGTTATTGCATATTCCTAAAACATCTTATTGTTCTTGGAATCTGCTGCAAGGGGTGACTTGCCATTTCATCTGACCTTGAACAGGGACTCTACAGAGCAGGCTCTAATCTCAGAAACACTGGTGTAAATCTGAGATTAATCCGTGGAGTTATTTTTGATTTTTCAGACAAGAAACAAAAACAGACAGCATGGCAAGAAACAAAACCATGACTGTTTTTTAGAGGACGCTTAGTTAACTCTGTCCAAGCAACCCCACCTTGTTAGATAACAGCCTATGCCACTCTCCCACCTCAGAGTTCCCACAACCACATCCACCCTCCAAGATGGTCTAACACCAGATCAATGGTCTCGTTTGCTGCCATGGTACCATCTCTCCTCAGTACTACCAGACATTGCCAGTCTGAAGAAACACTGGGACAACTGAGGTTAAGTGGATGTAAGCCAGGGGCCTACTGACCTCCTTCTGGGCCTGACTCCACCACCCAACACTTCACACCAGTGCAAAGCAGGTGTAATGCTCTTCTGGACTGGGCAGATGCAAACAACAGCCACTTAACTGGGGTAGCAATGGCCATGCAAGACACAGGGTAGTGGCAAAGCAAACTCTGGGGTCATCAATGGCCACAGAGATCTCCAGCTTCTTATCTCCCATTGCTTGGGACACCACCCTATTTGGTCTTAGATTGGTTTTGCACCAGGTCTTGAGATTAAAAAGGAGTGATGAAGTCACTACTCCTCTCAGCAGAGCCAATATTTTGCACATCCTTTGCCTGTGGCCTCTCTCACTCCACAGAGCCACGGACAAGCCAGAGCTGGACACTGTGCTCCAAGCCAACTATTGGCATCTGGTCCAGGGGGTCAAGGCGAGGTGTGAAGCCACCATCTGACACTGTACACACAGGAGTAGGGGCTGCAAAGATGCAGAGCTGTCAAGGTGGAACCTGTAAATCCCAGGCTCAGAGCCTGAAAGACACAAGTTTGGGTCAGAATCCATTAGACTCAGATCAAAAGGACCAGGGGCCTCTCTCTTGCAACAGAAGACTCACATGAAGGCACAAAATACCCTACAAACCAGATCTAGTATTTTCCTTCCAATCCTTCTGTATTTTAAATCACCTACAGCTGTAGTCATGGCAAAACACTCAAAACTAGACAGGCTTTCTGGCTGTTGGTATTGTCTTAAATGCTTCAGCTCACAGGAACAAACTGCGTTCTGCACAAAGAGGCTTCATTTTTTGAGCCATCAGAGATCCCTCCTTAGGCTTTAGCTGACCACAGTACAGCTGCAAGTGGGCACCAGAAACAGACCTGGGATGCATTCAGGTATCAAAATAACCACAAAGAAATGAATTTTAATATAACACAGCCAGACCTATGTGTACATACACAGAGCACAACGTTTATAATAAAGAGACAAACAGGAGGGCTCAGATTGCATAAGCGAAGCAGAAGTGTTGTCTTCTCTTCATAAATGCTCTTGTTTTCACATTAACATCCCCCCTCTGTTTGGGATCTGACCTCAGCAGCTCGGCTGGACGTGTTCATCTCTTTCCCATGATGTTCCCATATAAGGTGATCTCTCTGGCCCTGGAGCAGGATTTTCATTTGCTCAGGTTTCGTCCCGCTCTGATTTGCTGGCCTCTGTGGTCAAGCTCTCTCACAGCTCTGCTCTGCAGCTTCCACACAGCAGTGGCTGTAAAGAGAGGAGAAAGGCAGGAGGGAGCAATGAGGCAGGTCTGGAGAGCTCTGGGTAGTTCATTTGCAGGCTCTGTTCTCTTTCTGCCACACGTTGCCTCTGCAATGAGCAGCTCCCATAAGCCTTTCCCAAGCAATATAAAACATAAACTCTGTCCAGAGAGCAGGGTGGAACTATAGGGCTGAATAGCTGTAATAACTCTCATGTCATTAGGAAACTTTGCTTCAAAACCTGTATCACTCTCTGCACAAACTATCTTGGGAATGTGGAAAATGACCACAGAATTATAGAACAAATATGCTGGAACACTGGCCCTCAATCTGTAAGACCTGACCCAGATACCACATCCCCCAGCTAACATAACTTAAGACAAGTTAAGCATCAAACAAATATCTCAGCTGCTTCCTGTAATATTTACTCAAGGCTGCACTGAGAGCTTATAATCTCTTTTATGTCTGTGAAGATTGTCTTGTGATAAAGAGGTCAAGGCACTGAGCTAAGCCTTGATTTTTTTTTTTTTTAAGCAGTAATTCTTTAAATTCAGACACCACTGCAGACTGTAAGTATGAAGCAGAAGAGAGGCAGTCTGGGGGAGCAAAATGGCTCTTGGGGCTGCTCGTATGAAGAGCACAAAACTGTTGGAGGAAAGAACTGTGACAACCTAAAACTTAAAGCATGACAAGGGATCTCTCACACCTTCCACAAGTTGGAAAGTCCCACAAAACTGGGCTCCAATGTATGAGTTTGCTCCTGCCTTCAGTCACTTGAGCTTTCCAACAGGTCAACAAGCTGGTTGTTGACCAGTCCACTTTTAGCTCAGGCAGTCCACTTTTAATGATCTGTGGTCATGGAGGTCTCCTTCCCCAGAGTCAGAACAATCAGACTTCATGGGTTTCCATCTCACCATCTTTTTTTCATCTTATCTTGGCATTTTCTAAAGTTTTCCTACATCCTTCCTCTTCTTTATCTGTTGCCTCTTTAACATTAGAGAGATATGAGAAGAGGGGAACAGTCCTTTCAGTGTGGGTACTGAAATAATCTGACATAGAGGAGGATCTCAGAGCAGCACCATCCCACTTTACCCAGCACAGACCCCTCTCCATTCTCAATACCACAGGCACAATCTCTCCCCTCTGAAGAAAAGCTGTGTAATGATATTTACAGAAACAGTGTTTCTCTAGGATTAAGTGGTGGTGGACCCACAGGCAATACTCCCTATAACCCATTAACTCAGTCTACACGGAGCAGGTTTGGCCCCAGCACCTCCAGCAGAAATACCATTTTAATTTGCTCTCTCTGTGTCCTACATGCTCAAAATACTCATCAGAGAAAACTGTAATTGATACCAGGAGAGCATGACAAGGGAAAGTAGATCTCTTCTGGGAACTTGTAGGTAAATATGATTCCTAAAGGTCAGTATATGGACTGACAGAACAAAGGAAACATGATCTGGTTTTAGAGTTCAAATCCAGGAGTCAAGAGACCTGGATTATGTTCCTGGCTCTCCTACAGCTTTCATGAACAACCACAAGTCACCCGTCCATCCCCTTTGTGATTGTTTAACCAGTTAAAAGCTTGGACACCAATGCAGTGTCACTGCTCAGCCTTCCCGTGAAGAAGGGGATTACATTTGATTAAATCATTTTATGAAGTGCTTTCTGTTTCTCAGAAGGAAAAAAGAGCTCATCCAAGACAGTCACAGTGCTTAGAATTGCAAAGTATTACAGTTATGCTACTTACTGAGTCAAATCCTGCAGTGATTTACAACCTGTGCATTTCAATTGGCACCAATTTCACATGACTCACTGCGTATTTTAATCCATCATCTGGGGACTCGCATGGGATTCTGAGACTATCCAAGAACCTAATTGCAACAGCAGAGAGGCTCCAAAATCCACCTATTTCAGGTCTAAGCACGGCTTTTGAAGGATCTGCAAGAAAAATCTTGCAGATTGAGAGATTTCATGAACAAGTTTCACTTTAATATATATCTGGTTTGGATTGTTTGGTGGTTTTGGAGCTGCTGTCCCTGTTTCAGGTTTATGCACTATATATTTATGGGTATTTTGAGGCTGAAAACTGATGTCCGACCCTGAGGACACACATTTGCCGTTTTCCCCAGGGTGAAGCCTGGCGCGGGACTGGCGTTCCCATTCCACAGGGATCCTCTGCACACCTTTCCACTTCAAAGGAATGAAGTAACATTCACCTGACACCCACACCAGCCACGCTCGACGCCCCTTTGTGCTGTCAGAGCCTGCCAGAAACCTTCCTTGGGTAACTGCAGCAATCTGTTTGTGCATCTCCTACACACGCCGCAATCACCTCCCTCGGGAGGAGCCGCAGAGCCAAGTTTATCCTGCGGAGGGTGAATCTCGGACCTGTTCCTGTGCCGTGACGGAGCCGCACGGGAGCCTTTCCCTGTGCCGTGTCCGCCCCAGAGCCCCCACAGTGACCTCGGCCGCGGCCCCTGCACGTTCGCGGCGGGGAGAAAATGGGACGGGACTGAGCGGGAAGGGCTGCCCGGGGCACACCGCGAGGCCACCGGGAGGGCTTCCTCGGGCTGCGGCGGCTGCGAGGGCAGCGAAACACGCGAGGAGCGGGCGCGAACTCGAGACCGCGCCGCGGAGAGCCCAAAAAGCACCTCCGGTCCCGCCCCGGGTGGCCCGCCCCGACACACACACACTCGCCCCTGCCCCGACACACCCACCGGACCCGCCCCACAGACAGAGCGGCCCGCCACAGCCTGACCACGCCCTCACAGCCCAGCCAGCCACCAGAGCTCAGTACGCACGCCAGCACACACGTTCCGGCCCGCCCCCTGCTACAGATCAAGCCCCCGTTATGTCACAGGTCTGGCCCCGCCCCCTCATTATCACCCCCGCCTCCTCCCGCCGGCCGCGGTCCTGTTCCCGCCGCTCCATCCGTGCATCGGAAGTGACGTCAGCGCCGTATCCCGCAACCGTCCCCGCGCTGCCGGAGGCCCTCGCGCTGGGGCCTCATCACCAGGCCCGGCCCGGCCCCCCGGCCCGCCGCACTCCCCGGGGCCCAGCTCACCGCCCCCACACCCGCCGTGTGTCCTCTGCGGGTGCCCCCCGGGACACCGCCATGGGTGACCAAATGCAGTTCATTGTCGAGAAGCTCAATCAGGAGCCCTTCAGGAAGAACTACAACTTAATCTCGTTTGACTCCCTGGAGTCGGTGCAGCTGCTGCAGCTGCTCAATGATGTTCTGGGCGAGATTGACCCGAAGGTAAGGGGGGCGCTCAGAGCTGCTCACACCTCTTGCAGTGGGTTTGACACCGAAATGTCTGGCTCAGTGTAATCCCGTAGCGTGCTTGGTTTTTCAAAACAGCTTGTATGGATCTTCCTGGGAATAAATGTGCCTGGCAAGAATCCTTCCTGTCAGTACATCTGAGTGTATAAAAATATTTGCAAAGCAGCAGATGTTCCCTGGGGCAGGGACTGGATCCCTGTCCCCAGAGACTGATCACTGGATGTTTTCCCTGTGAAATTCAGGATACAGATGTTGGTTCATACCAATCTTCATGTTCTTAGGGCAAGGTCAGGCTGTGCCCTGCACACACACACGTCCACACATCTGGGGCACAGATACCTGTGCCTTGGAGTGCCAGGATGCCCGAATTCCTTCTTGGATGTGTTCAGAGTGTCTGCATAGATGATTCCTGTCAGCAGGGAGAATGGTAATTTAGGAAGAATTTACCTGAATACACATGTTGGAGGAAATTAGAAGAGAATTGAAGTTTGGTGATAAAAGGGATGTTCTGTGCAGAGTATCTCACTATCATTTGATAAAGTAATAAAGTCAATTCTTTTAGTGTTGCCAGTTAATTGATACCACTTGGACAAAGAAGTATATAATAATTATAATTAATTTAGTTAACAATATAATCATAATAATTAACAAATTATTATAAAATAAATAATGTCATAATTACAATATTTAGTAATATTATGATATAATAATTATTATTACCTATAAGTAATTAATTAAATAATTTCTACAAACTGTTTAGCATGCTGTTGACATTAGAGAGGAGCTGCCAGAACAAACAGCTAAAAGAATGCTGAGCCTCCTTGGAATTCTCAAATACAAACCTCCGGGGAATGTGTCAGACCTGTGAGTATCCTTTTACCTGCAAACACCATCAAAACGTTGTTTGCTGCTCATGTGGTAGTGACCTTTAGTTCAGGTGAGAGCTGTTCCCGTGTCCTTGTGGAGGTTGGGATGGGATCCCAGGTGCGGTGCCAGAGCTGTTGCCGTGTCCCTGTGGATGCGGGATGTGGTGCCAGGTGCGGTGCCACACCTGGGCAGGTGCAGTGGCGGGCGCTGCCGGCAGAGGGCACTGCCCGCCCGGCAGGGTCGGCCCGGCCCGGCCCCGCAGCGCCCGAGGCGGGAGCGACTCACCTGCGCCAGGTGATGCCCAAGTCCCGCGCCCCGCCCACCCTGCCGGCATTCCCCGAGACTGCCGCAGGGAACCGGGAGTCGTCCCTCCTGGCTTTATCCTTTTAGTGCGTTATGGGGGTTTTATCTGCCTCAAGGGAGCAGAACGGGGATTTGAAATTGCGAACTGCCATCACAGAATCCCAGAACGGTTTGGATTGGGAGGGATCTTAAAAACCATAAAATCATCTAGTCCAGCCCTCTGCCATGGGCAGGAACACCTCCCACTAGACCAGGTTGCTCCCAGCTCCATCCACCCTGGCTTGAACGCTTCCAGGGATGGGGCACCCACAGCTTCTCTGGGCAACCTTCTCTGAGCGTCATACAGAAGGATTTCTTCCCAACATCCCACCTAACCCTACTCTCTGTCAGTGGAAAGCCATTCCCCTTTGTCCTGTCACTCCAGGCCCTTATAAATGGTCTCCCTCCATTTTTCCTGTCAGCTCCTCCAGATTCTTCTCACCCTGGAGCCTTCTCTCCTCCAGGCTGAACAATCCCAATCCTCTCAGCCTCATCATGAGCATTTTCTCTTTTAACAGCATTAAGAAAATCATTAGCCAAGTGGAGAAGGAGCATCAAAGCATTGCAAATTCTTTGTTCCCAGCCAGCTTTCCTTAGTTTGAGATTTTTTGGTGTTTTCTCTGTCATTGTCACACAGAAGTGCTTTTCGCCAGGGGTTGGTTACTGGGAGCAAACCTGTCATTCATCCTCTCTTACACTGGCTTCTGCAGAGGACCAATGAACTCAAGAAAAGAGCTTACCTGGCACGTTTCTTAGTGAAACTGGAAGTGCCAGCAGAGTTTCTCCAGGATGATACTGTGGCTGACATCAACAAACAGGTACCGTTTTTCTTGAGCGCCAACGTTTTCCATGAATTAAAGTGCTGGTGGGAGGAGGGATGAAAGAATCTGGGAGTAATGTTGGCAGAGAGGATGAGCAAAGATTCATAATAAGAAATAGATGTCTTGACTACTTTCCTTCCAATAACCCTGAATTTGGAAATTAATAGGCAGTATTGAATTGAAAGGCTTTCAGCCCATTAAGAACTGGGTGCCAGATCGTGTCCAGAGCCATGTTGCCCTAGACAGATTTTTATTTCTTAATTTTTTAACATCTTTCTTTCTTATGAACTATGACATTTATGTTTTTAACTGTAAATTACCACTTCAAAGCAGTCCAGAAAATGTTGTCACCAAAAGCCAATGTCTCCTAATTATCAATTGATTGTATTTGGTAGTCATGGTTGTCAATTGATAGTATTTAATGCCTAATATTTGTATTAGCCTTATTCTGCTTTTGCTTCAACCATTTATTTTTTTGTGAATAAGTAAAAGATTTCTCTTTTCTGTGCTGACATTCCTACTTATTATGTTCCCACTTCTTTTGTGAGCATTGAATGTTGATTTTAGATAGTCAGACTGGGTGGGTTTGAATTGTAAAACTTCAAGTGAACCAAAGTTATGGGTTTATATCTGTATTATCTGAGGTACATATTTACTTAAATTTTTTTTATCCAGTTTTCTGTGACTTTTGTTTTATGAAACCACAGTGGTTTTTAGTGTTTGTAACAGGTAACTTGATTTGTTAACTGTGCACCAGCAAAGCTGAACAGTCTGACTGAAGCTTGACCAAGCCTTTTGGTTTTTTGTTACCTCGAAAAATATTTGATTTATAACTTGGGATAACTCAGCAGAAGTAGTAAAGAGAGAAAGCAATTCAGATTGTATGTTTTTTCATATGTCACAGTCTTAATATGTATAAATATCCACCTCCATAATTTCCATTACATAAGATGTGTTCCTTTTTGGGATTACAGTAATAGAACCATCTTATTAAACTAATACCCTGCTGATTAATTCAAAACAGAAGCTGGGGTAATAGAATGCCTTACTGCAGATTAACATGACAATGCAAATACTTAGATACTAATGGATTAAAGAATTTAGCCTAAATCATTTAGATACAGGCTTGCAGTGGTGTCTTTTAAGAGAAATTTCAAATATTGAGGGTTTGGACACTTTATAACATGGTCAGATTTTATGGCTGTGTAGAATCAAACTCAAATGTACTTTTAAAAATTATTTATACAAGATACTCAGCATACATACCACCTTCCCACTGTGTTGGGATTTACACATTGGGTTGGCTGCAGTTTAAAATTTAAAAAATTAGCAACTTCAGGCATTAATTTAGTTGTCCAGTCTTCAGTGAATTGCTCCCAGCTGCCAGGAATCTTTCTTTCCGTATAGGAACCTGGGTGTTCTTTGGTCATTTGAGTGTGTCCCATATTCCAGGTGCCTGTGGGGGTACCCACAGTGAAAAGTGAGAGCCTTCCCTTTGTTATGATCCATCAAACTGTGCTCTGCCCTTGTTTGAGTCCTACCATTGGTCTGAAATTTTGTGTCCATTAAGGAAAAGATTTCCTAAACTCCTCTTCTGACAGAGGTAGGGACACACAAAGGAAAGCTGTTGGACAGCAGAAGTGGTGAAAGCACTTGCTCAGGGACCACCTGGTATTTCATTTTTGTTCAAGGACTTCCACAGTGCCTTAGTGGCATCATGGAAACCAGCTGGGTTTTCACTCCTAACTTGTTCCTCCTTGTCCAGCCTGTGCATTCCTTATCACACCTTTATTTGCCATTCAATCCAGCTCTTTCTCTGTGGTTTTATCTTCTTCTCAGTAGCCATTTTATTACTGTTTTTTTGAATTCATTCCAGCTTGTCAGTCCGTGCTTGAAACTGCAACAACCAGACCTGAGCAGAGCACTCTGGCTGCTGGTTCCCCAGGGTTTTATAGAATGGAATTGCTGCTTCACTGCTCAGGGCTTTGATGCCTTTGTTTGAACTGGCCTTTGCTGTTGCCATTTTGTGTTCAACTTTCGTATCAACTGCTCTTTCCAGGAAGTAAAAAAATGACTTGATATTCTCTTTTTAGATTTTTCCATCTCATTGAATGGCTGTTTCTGTGGAGATTATCTTCCCTTATACCTCAGCTTACATTTCTCCGAGTCGAATCTAAATTTATTTCCTCTCCATATTTCTAAACTCTTTCTGTCCCCTGTTATTTCTCTACCCACACAGACTTTCACACTGCCTCTCAGTTTAAGATTCCTGGTGGGCACTGTGCTGGTGTGGAAGTAGCACACTGTCTCCTTCTCCCTGAGTGCTGAGCTGCATCAATCAGTCCCTGTGAGGTACCTGGGTTATGCAACGTGTCACAGCCACTCCTCACGTGTTACCTCAGCTGTGCTCTTGGGCCACTCTGCAAATTCAAGCCCCATGGCTTCAGTCAAGTGTTTTGTTAGGTCAGGCTCTTCCTTTTTGGGCTGATAAATGTATGGATGTGATATACACAGATTTACAGTAAGAGAGAATAATTTGTTAATATGGACTTGTCCCTCTCAGCTAACATCTTATCTCTCTACTTTGAAAATACACTGTTGTGTTACAAGGGAAGAGATGAAAATACTGAAGAAATTGTGAAATTCTGATTGGACCTTTAAATGCAAGATAATGCACTGTGATTTTTTAGTTTCTGTTTTATAAGTTGACAAGCTTTTGCAGTGAAAACAATGCATTTTATTCTTTTTCTCACCATATTTCTATGTCTACATATACTATTATAGTAATAAAGTGATGTGTTGATCTGAAAATCCCCAGACACAGAGCTCATTCTGCACGATTTCTGTTTCCTTTTGTAGTATGAAGAACTCATGGAAGCATTTAAAAACCTGCATAAGGAGTACGAGCAGCTCAAAATATCTGGTTTATCCACTGCAGAGATAAGAAGGGTAAAAAAAAAATGCACAGCTTTTCTTTGGTTGTTTTTTGAAGCCCTGTTTTTGTTGGGTTTGTAAGTTGTAGAGGCCAGAGCTGGTGGGCTCTGCAGCTGCCTTTTGGAAACTGTGCTGTGTTGGCAAACAGAGCAGAAAGTCTTTGCTCGTGCTCAGAGCGGAGCTTTCTGGAGCAGATTGGGGAATGAGGCTGCCAAGACTCTGTTCAGCATGATTTCCAAATATTAGAACTCCATTTCCTCTGAATGCAAACTCATACAAAACCTTTTGCTTTCCTGATACAGGGTAATAATTCCAGAGGGTGTTGAATGAATTAAGAGCTTAAGTCAACAATGATGATGAACCCGTGTGGATAAAGTGTTAAGTAAAGATATTTGCCCTGTTTCAGCAAAATAATTAAGCCTGTGTACAGCTTTCCAGGGGACATATAGACAAGCCAAGCAAATGTTGAGATGTACATTTGGAGAATTTATTTCCATTTCTCTCATAACTATCAATCTGTGGAGTCCTGCTGTTGTAAAATAAGATTAAAGGAAAATAATAATCAGATACATATTTCAGCACTAGAAAGTGTTTCTTTTAACACAGTTCTAATACAAAAAGTGGCAGCAGACATCCCTCATATGCAGCTTCTTGCAGAATGGTCTGCCAGGAAGTGGGTAATGATGGTGACATTAAGAACATATGTCAGACTGCATCCGATGTTGAGTTCGTGCTGATTTTTCCTTGGTGGTGTGTGTTTGTTTGTTTTTATTTTAGAGAAATCCACCTGCATTTATTTTAAATGTTCACACTTAATACTCAGGGATGCAGATGAGGAGTGTTAGCATAGAGGGAGTGGGAACTGTGGGGGAAGTAAGAGAGATTAGAATCCTGGGTGTTCTGATCGTAGATCAATAAAATTACAACCACCTCCGTATATTCAGAGAAGAATTCTGATTTTCATATTAATTAGAAGAGAATTTAGTCCAATCCAACATACATGGTAAATAAATTAATATTTATTTATGTATTTTTTTCTGCTTTTTAGGACATCAGTGCAATGGAAGAGGAGAAAGATCAACTGGTCAAAAGAGTAGAGCGTCTCAAGAAGAGGGTAATAAGAGAAGTAACACTGTTCCGTTTCAGTGTCATAATCCTTGGCTTGCAACTCTGATTTTGGAATGCAAACAGGGATTAAGATAAACATACTGTATGTCTAGGAAGGAGTCGAGTAACTAATTGACCTACAGGGAATCTCCCAGGCCTCAGTCCAGGGCTTTTAAGAATCTCGAGTCCAGTACTTTGCTGTCATTTCTGAGTAGTAACGTGCACAGAAAGGAAGTGCTAAGTGGGCTTGTGAGACATATGATCCCTTTAATGTATTTCTCAACTATCTGACAGCAACATGCACTATTTATCCACTTGCTGTAGGTGGAGACAGTACAAAATCATCAACGGATGCTTGAAATAGCAAGACAGCTCCGCTTGGAAAAAGAGAGAGAAGAATCTCTGGCTCAACAGAAACAAGAACAAAAAAGTCAGGTACTGACATGAAAACATACCTATTAAAATAAAGAGCTGTTGACATTTGTTTGGGAATCAGGCATTTTAGAAAGACAGCAGGACCAACAGTAGAGAATTTCTTCCGACCCCAGAAAATGAAATCCCATTTAAAAGATCTATGTAGGTTTTAAGGGAAGAGGCTTGACCCTGCAAGTTTTGAACAGCACAGTGAAGGTACTTGGCTGCTTCAGCTGCCACTGACATCATCCTTGAGTGTTCCCAGGAAACGTTCCATGACTTACTGCCGGAGCACCCAAAGGGAACTCATCATATTTATGGGAGTGAGCAAATGTTTCCTTGGTTTGATTTCTATCTCTGTGCATCTGCACCAAGATTTCAGGGGCTGAGCAGCACAGCAAGTACCTCAGCTTCTCCCTGGGTGGGGGGAATATGTATTCAGGAGCAACCTTGGGATTTTGGTCCCTGAGTTTGACAAAAGTGGTGTCCTGAGAAGTACTGGAAGCTGTCAACACATTGGATGTCAACACCTCTGAGTGTGAGGGTGGGTTTTATTCCTGACCTATGTTGTCAAAACAAGGTACTTTCATAAAATCCGGTGCCATTTTGTTACACCATCTCACCAAATTCTGTAGCCTGAACTGCAACACTGTAATAAAAGGGGAAAACCCCCCAGATCCCCTGTATTGCAGTCTGTGTCTGCATGTGGAATCAATGGGAATTAGTAGCTCTCAGGCTGTTGGGTCTTTGCTTGAACCTGCATGAGATCACAAGTAAAATGAATGCGATGTCCAGCTAATTCCAGTTCTTAGTACACATCTCCATAAATCATAAAAATGCAAATCAGCTGGGGCTTGTTTGGCAAGAAACTTTCCATCTGCTCTTGGGATGGACAGTGGATTGCTGTGACAACTCAGCTGCATTGCAGGGACCGAAGGATAAGGACAGGTACCACCTGCAATCCTGATTCTTGCTGCCTTTTGTTGTTGTTGTAATGCTCAAGGCACTTATAATTTTGGTTGAAAATTGTTGAATGAAGTTCTGCCATAAAGTATCACTTGGGAGAACAAGAATCCTCTCTTCATTTAACATTAGAGAATATCAAATAAACCCAGGCCAAGTGTTGAAAATTTGCTCTGGCACATTCCCTTGTGAAACAGATCCTCACCAGATGCTTAGAGCTGCCATTTTTTCTGTTTGAGGTTCTTTTGCTCTTTTGGTTTAGTTGTTTGAATATGTATTTCCAAGGGATGAGCTTATGTGTGTCCAATTCTCTCTCCAAAGTTGTTCCATGCAGAGCAGAGGCTGCAGAGAGCCCAGCTCCAGCTGAAGGAGATGCAGGATGCAGTAGCTGATTCAAAACCTGAAAGTAAGTGGTGATCTACAAAGGGGTTACGCTTCTCTGGCAGAAATTAAATCAAAACCTCTTGCTCAGTCAGAAGTTTGTCTTTTCTAAGCTTTTATGCCTTTTGTGTTTGTAACTGGGCATTGGTGAAATACTGCTTCTTAAAAATGCTCTCAGTGAATGGACAAATACGTTGAATACTGTTTTATTCAGTGTTTTTTCTGGTTATCTTCTATAAAGTATTTGTTTGAAAAGCTTTAAGGCCTGTTTCTTGTTGCAGTGCAGTTTTGTGCTGTAGTTTTTTAAGGTACCAAAAATAAAGCTATTTCCTAATTCAGCTTTTTTTAATAGACTGTAAATTATATTTAATTATATTTATATACACAGCACACACTTTTAATGTGTGTGATTATAGATATATAGATATAAATATGTAGATACTAGATATATCTATATGTTGAAGCCTCTATATTTGTATATTAGTATATTTGTTTATATATCAACATTCTTTGTTCTCTCTATGCAACTAATTTATTGAGCTGTATGTTGCTGAATTACATTCATAACAGCAAGATTGCTTCTCCTTGTTTTCAGTGATATCTCAGACTGAAAATAACTAAAGCAAAATAAATTCTATGCCTTGTGGAGTGAGTTAGTTCTACATGCTCATCTATAACAACAGGAGGTGGAAGAGTTGCAGTTACTAGAGAAATGTGGAACTGACTGTCTCCAAAGGACAGTTTGACAACCTCCAGGTTTCTGGTGATTTAATCACTTTGAAGGAAATGTTCCAAGGATTATCCAGGCAATTTGACACCAAAACTGAGAGTCAGTTTAGAGTCACAGAATCATAAAATCTCCTGAGCTGGGAGGGACCCTCCAGGATAATTTTTGAAGGTTCAGTGTTTCAGACATGTGTGATCTTTGCAAATCACTGACCCCTTCCAGTTTATTCCTCACATTTGATTATTAATAACACATCACAGGACTGACAGAGGTTTTATGTGCTGTTCATGCAGGTATTGGGGTGGATTTATTGGGAAATACTTTATTGTATGGAAGATAACCTGTCCCTTCCATGGGGCTTTTCCAGTTGAATTCTGGGTTACTGTGGTGAAAAACGTGCCATAGAAACATGTATAAATTAATTCCAAAATTATAGAATCTGGCTATTTCTCAATTTAAATTTAGTAAACCAAGTCATTGTCCTACTCTTTCAAGAACATTTGCTGTTTCAGTTGCATCACTGAACTGCTTTGGCAGCTCCTCTGAGTTAAAGGAGTTTTTTTCAGTCTCCACCTCGTGTTGTTATTACTTTGTAATTTTACTTCATTTTTTTATGATGCTCATCAGCCACTGAACCACAAGTGGAACTAAGGGAGTATCTGAACCATCTTCTTCACTCACAGGGCCCTGCAGTGGATTTTATAACTGCTCCTTTTTTTGCAGTAGCTATCAGAGAGTTTATACAGCAAAGCTGTATCAACATTTCTGTTTTAGTTCCTGGGTTTTTTAAAGGCCAATGGAAACTTGATGGGTTCAGTTCACAGAAGCAAAGGTAACATAATAAAAAGCCAGTAAATATGTCATGTCATCATTGAGATGAAAATAAAGTTAACATATTTAATTTCCTTATCTTGAGTCCTACTTGCAGGGGAAAACAAAAAGTATTTAGATGTTCCGAAGCAAAGCTTGGAGTCATTACTTAAGAAAACTTGTGTTGAAATTTTGCCCAGACAAAGACTTCAGGACTCAGCTCTGCAATTGCTCTTCCCCACTGGAGTTACAAAGGCACTGCCTGTAGCAGCAATTACAGAAAGCCAACTGTTTTTTTAATAATTGAAATTAGGTGACCACAGTGCACTGCACAGTGCATTTATTTTAAAAGCTTCCAGTTATTTTAAAAGCTTTGTTGGGTTACAGTTGGTACAATGTATTTTAGTTTTAAGATTCCCTTTGGCTGCCTCAGCTACCTCCTCATAGCAGTGTAGTTTGTCTGCTGACAGTCCAACAGCTGGAGTTTCACTGGAAGTGAGATCCTTTCCTTTAAAAGAAATTTCTTCCGTTTTTAATATTTCACTGGTTTAATACTTCAGTTTTTACTTCCTAGGCAAGATAAAATGTTAGAAGTTGTTCATGAGTAGAAGTTTTGTTGTTTGTCTTATGGATTTGATGACTTCATAATTAATGTAGGATGAAGTGCTTTAAAGAAATGGGAAGGAACTCTTTGAGGAATGCAACTCCCATGTATTCCTGAGAATCATTAGCATATAATTAGCATGAGCCTGCTTGAATGTGCCAGGAAAATACAGCTTATGGTTAGCAGGTTCTTAACTCCTAGAAACATAATATTTATAAGACTTTGTGTTGTATCACTGATTGTTATGAGCTGTTCTTGAGACTAAAATTGATGATGGTTTCACAGAACCTTCCCTGTTTATTGACTTCAGCCCTTCCCTATTTCTTAACTTCAGTACTACTCAGGATGTTGTTCAATTAGGAAGGGATTTGCTGCTGGTAGCCCTGAATAACCTGAATTTGCAGATTCTGGAGGGTTTTCTTCTGTTGTTGTTCTGGATATGAGTTATATTTTTATTAACACTGGCCACCAGTTTGAATAACCATAACCCAGCTCATGCTTTCTCTCCAAGATTGCCACCTTTTTGCTCTGATTATCTCTGCTGGCACAAACACAAATTGTTAAACAAACTGAATAACTGAAATTCTTCATCTCTGTCTACTTTGCAGAACATTATTCGTCACTTTATTGGCAAAAATGTGAAAAAAGTGGATGAGTAGCTTGGAAATATTGATTAAAGAATGTGTTAAAATGATTGTTGATAAACAGTAAAATGTGTAATTTATAAAATTCATTAAATTTATGTGTAGTAATAGATTTAGGACACTGGGAACTTCACAGACACCGGTCAAGGAGGAATTGCTTTGTACAGATGTCTATTTTCTTTCATTCCTGATGAAAAATAGAAAGTTAGCAAGCTATTATTTATATATTCCATTTGATAGAAAACATTAGCATTTTTCTTTTTCACAGAACCGCCTTTCCCTAAAATTCCAAGGTTAAATGATCTCCTCCAAAACTACAGACCACATTGGAATTAAAGTTCTAGAAGTATTTGGTAAAAGAGACTGGCTCAGATGGAACTTTATTTCCATCTTTAGAAGATATTATTTATTATAAAGTCACTGACAATTGATGCAAGGGGAGGGTTAAGCAGTTTTAAGATAATTTGGTATCTCTGATGAGATACAAGTCTGGTTGGTGAGATTGGTAGTGTTTTTAAGGTCTTTGACTCTTGCACCTCATTTTGAAGAACAAACAAGGCAGCAAAAATTCAACATGACCCCTGTTAAAAGGATTCCAAGGAGTTTAGTGGAAGGTTTAGAAAGAAGTGGAATCATCACCCAGTGGGGTTTGGCTCTTTTTTGTTTAGTATTTTCACCAGATTCCTGCAAGAAAATAGCAAATGATCTCTGGGGAAATAAAAATAGGGAAGTGACTGAATAATGAGGAGACTGTTGATTTGAAGTGACTGGAATCACTTAGGAAGCCAAGCCCATGCCAACAGGTTCTATTTTAAGGAATAGCCAAATTCCACGGCATTCCCCCAGGAATAATGTATATGCAATGTGTTTATGGAATGTGAGGCTCTTTCCTAGGAAGTGACTCTGCAAAGAACTTGTGAGTCAGGTATAAAAATGGGGGAACAGGAGCTCCCAGTGTCAGAAATAAGGTGATATCCATGTGTTTGTTTCTGGGAGAAAATGCAAGAGCAGAGTCCCACTGCCCCTGGTTTGGGCTCTGAGATGTCCATCACTGCAGCCTGTGACAATTCAACACTCAAGAAGAACTCTGAAAGGTCAGAGAGGTTTCAAAGAGCTCCAATAATAATTATAAACATGGAGAGCATAATTTACAGTGGCAAATTCAGGAAGCTTTTCAGATTTTCAGGGATATATTGAAGGGATGGTTGATCCGTCAGTGTTTGCATGTCCCAGGCCTCTCTTTAATATCCCTGTTTAAAATCCCTGTTTAACAGAGGGAAATTGGAAGTGGTGGCATTGGGAGCTGTGGAGGGAATCATTTCAGTCCCTGCAGAAAGGGATTTGATGTTGGAAGTCTGTTCCAGCCATGCCTTTGTCGTGCCCTTCTGATGTGATATTGAACAAAGTATTGGCAGAGAATCTATAAAATGAGGGCCCCTCTCTCTTTTTTCCCCCCTTTTAAAAAACTGAAGTCCTGTTGCAAATGGTTCTGGTCCAGGATGTGCAGTTGGCATCCCTATGGTGGGAAAAGAAGTGGGAACCTGAGCGTGAGGTGAATCAAGTTTAAAGTCCACCAGCAGAATTATGCAGAGAAAGTCGCCTCTGCTCTACATAACTGAGCAAGCAGGAATAAACTCTTTTCTCCCATCCCTCTCTCTGTAATAATAATAATAATAATAATAATAATAATAATAATAATAGTGAAAATATTTGAATGGAAAACATGAGGAGTTGCTCTGAATAGCTCTGCACATGTAAATACGTGGTTGGCAGAACCTTGTTAAAATAACCTTAGGGCACAGAGCCAGATTTCTGTGCCGCTTACGTGTGTACGTTTTGTAACCATAAGTCAATGTTGAAACATTAAAAACAGAATTTATATGTGTAATGGAAAGATTTGAAGTATGATGGCTTTTTTTTTTTTCCCTCTCTAGCCTGGGAATTTGCAAAAGAATGTTTTTCACTGTAAAAAACAAAACAAAAAAAACCAAAACCCCGAACCAAGAGCTGCTCCGTGTTTGGGTTTTTAAGGATCTGTTAAGCAGCTAAAGTAGCTCTTCAGTAGTTACTTCTCCATATGTTGAATTGAAGAGCAGGGAAAATATATCCAATGTATTTAGGGAAGAAACATTAGTCATAAGGGATGTTGACATCATGTCTTTCCCCATCAAGATGTCAGGTTTTAACTCGCTTTGTTGCTCGTTGCACTGTCAGGAATAAGCACAAGAACCAGTCAGGGTGTGACAGGAGCTGGGAGCAACTCTGAGGTTATTTGGGAAATAAATCAGATAGTGATCAAGGTTATAGCCCATGAAGTCAAAAGGTCCCTGCTCTTATGAAAGCTCTTGTGGTTCTTTGCTAAGTTTATTGTCTACGACAAATCCTTTGGGCTGCACATTTTGATCAGAAAATTGGAACAGCACAAGAAATAAAGTATAGGTTATATATGCAGATTTTTTTTTTTTTGCTGCTAAGAAAACCAAGAAGTTAATTTGATTTAATTAAAATATTAATATTTCATATCCAAATAATCAATATCACATTGATTTCCACACCACAGACCTTGGGCAGAAATATCGGGTTGGGAGTTGTGTTGCAGTGAGTTCTGAGGTGATAATTCAGCTCCCAGGGGATGTGGGAAGCAGCTTTGCTGCATTTGCAGAGGTGGGAGATTTCTAGTGAGACATTAAAATGTGGTCCTTCCTGCCCAGCTCTGTGGTGGGCTGAGGAGGATTGGAATGGAACTCTTGTGGAAGAAAGAATTGGGAAATCTCTCCCAGGAAGTCCCAGTGTGTTTCTCAGGTGCAGCTGCAGTGCCAAGGACACGATGGCTGTTCCATACACAGAGTAACTTGGTTTTTCCCACTCTGAAACCAGTGTGGGGGCTGTTTTGCATGAAATAAATGGCCTCTCCACCAAGGGGAGAAGGTCCTGCTGTAATGTTGCTTTCTATAAATGCAGAAACCAACAAACTAAACTGCTGGAAAAGAGGAATTCCCACTCATATTTAGTTTGTGTTGACTTGCCTTTGTTGGCAGCGCTGCTTTCCCCAGGGTCTGTTTTCTTTCTTCCAGTTCTTGAGGTTTTCTCAAGAGCTAATGGCTTATTTCCCCTCTGGCAGCTTTCCTGGCAGCCTGGGCTGGGAGCAGGGGGTGAGGAGGATCTCTCAGGGCAGAGTGGGAGAGGTGAAGAGCAGCAGAATGAAGGGGGCCCCTTTTCCTGGGCTGTTTCACTTCATTCTGACCTTGTTTTATCAGTCATGCTCTTTAGCCTGAGAACCAAAATCTGCTTTCATCTACATCCTTTCCCATCTCTGTTTCAGCAACATCAGCTGTACTTTTGTATCTCTGTGCTCTTCTCTGCTTGTGCAGTAAATGAAAGAGAAGAAAATCGTGAACTTCTTGTTTTTCTTGGCAATTTTCATTGCAATTCCATCTTCTCCTAAATATGGAGAGAACAAAACCCTCCAACTCCAGCAAGTTATCTTATAAAGCAAAAGAACCAGGAGTACTTACCTTTTAGTCAGCTAGATCATAAAAACTGCTCTGAAATACACGTTCCCACTCTCATCTGACATGTAACTTCCAACTCCTGTAGTCCTTGGCACAGTTGTCTCAGAGGAGTAATTGCACTAAACTGCCTGTTGTCAGTGCAGACTCTGCAATGTAATTTAAATAGATGTTTCCTTTTATTCTGTCGCATTTTTCTACCTGTGAATTGTTCTTATCTGTATGTACTTGGGTTTATTTATAAATTAACTGTTAAGGAGACTGAATTACTCTCTGTACAAGAGCCAAGTCTTACATGGTAAGATATAGATGCATTAGGCTTGTGTAGAGCAAAACTTATAAATGCCATTATTCAAGAATTTCTTCTTGATTTTATATTTAATTGTTATTTTCTGCATTCTCAGTCTATAAGCTTCCTGAGATTAAACATTTGTTCTTATAAGAAAAAATAGTGGCTGTTTACAGGGAGGCAATTTATGAGTGTCCCAGCAATATAAAAGACCCTTAAAGTAGGCATACATTAAACTCTGCCCATTTTAAGGCCTTTTTAGATGCCAGATGGAAAAAAAGCTTTATTTTAAAGGTGAAGCTCCAAGGATATAACAAATCTGTACATGAGCTGGGCCAAATTCAGATTTTTGTACAGATAAAGGTTTAATGGCAGTTTATATCAGTGCCATGTGTTGAATTTTGCATCTGATTCAGCTGGAGTTTCATGTTAGAAGGGATTTACTTGTTTATTGATGAAAAGAATCTGTCAAGGAGTTAACAGTTGTATGTTAGAGGTGCATAATAACACCTACTGTATTGTTTTAACATCCAGATTAAAAATTTAAATCAAGTAACTCCCTTTCTTTGAGCACTGAAAAGAAGACTCAGATGTTATGCTGTTGTTATTGTAATCAGCTGCTAAAAACTCCAGTGTGTTGGGCAAATCAAACTTAATTACCTGCTACATTGCTTTTATAGTCACACACTGATTTCATTTGTTTTTAAGGTTTAATGAAGAAACTGGAAGAGGAGATAAATTTCAATTCCTACCTGGTTACTGAAAAAATGCCCAGAGAGCTTGAGAGTAAGAAGGCCTCAGTGTATCTCCTGCAGAAGGTGGTTGCAGAGCCAGCCATGACTCAGTCTGATCTCACTGCCCTGCAAAGTGAGGTGAGGGCACCAAGGTTGCACTGAATTGTTCTGGAGCATAAGCTGAGCTTCTTGTACACTCTGGTGTTCTTATCCCTACTTTATACCCTTGAGAAAATGTTTCATTCCCAAAGGAACCTCCCTTCAGCTGTAAAACCAAAGGATAATGTCTTAATCACTAAATGCAAACTCTCAGATAAGTTTTGGTTTTTTTTTAAATGCCCACAAAACAGACACAAACAAACAAACCAACCCCAAAACAAACCCCAAACCCAATCATATCCTTAGGTGCTATTTAGGAAATTGTGTTGGCAATTTGGAATGGTATGAGCAGAGCTGGTAATCTAGCACTAAAGGGCTGGTTTTTTTCAGATTTCACTTGTTTTTAACTCTCAGAGACCTCGAGGGGAGTGTTTATACCAACACATACACAGAGTTTATAGAGGGAACAACATTCCCTGAGTGATGGGTCTTCACAATATGATGCCTTAATCCATGTGCAATGGCTCAGAACTCTTTAGTGTTTGGAATAGACCTGCATTGTTTGGTTTAATTGTGAAGAGCAAAGGAAATTTGGGCATCAATTGACTTACCTTTCTAGATCTTTTCAGAAGTTAAAAGCAAATGGTGTTAGAATGAGAAAAAATCCCTATTTGTAGGATATTCTACAAATATGCAGAGGGATTTGTTGCCACACAAGTACATTTATGTATTTCACTCTATGAAATTTTCATATTTGCATAATCCTAAATGAAAGATTAAATGTCTAATGTTATGTTCTAGAAGAATTTAGAGGAATGCTAATTATTAGTATTTCTATTGATGATGAAGATTACAAGATTACAATGGAGTTAGCAAGGGGGGTGTTTAATACTCCAGGATGTCCAGCTCAGGTTTTGCTATGAAATGGAGATAATGAGGAAGCAGAGTATCCGTGGTTAGGGCTGACAGCATTAATAACTGGGAGATTAGGGCTGAAATAATAAACCAGCTCTGTGATTCAGCCTCTGCTTTCCCAGATTATTCCCTCTAATGAAAACAATATTTGTGGCTGCAGTTATGTCTTTCAGACATTCTTGAAAGCCTGTTTTGCACGTTTCTTTTCCGAGTGTATTGTTGGGTTTTTGGCAATGTTTTAAAAGGCTCTGAGTTTTTTTTCTCTTTCTCCATGATGTAACCTTTGATTTTTTTATATTTTGGAAGTATCTTCTTCTTGAAAGATAATAAAACCATGTCATACACTTGGCTGTTATCACAGCATGGCCTTAGATTTTTTTTTTAAGTCAGCTTTTTATTATCTCAGTGCCTTAAAAAGGAGCTGAACTGCACTAAGCATGTTACCATCATGCATTTTAGAATATAAAACCCAGGAATTTATTCACACAAGGGAATTCTTATGCCATTTTCAAATTCAGGCCTGTTCTGCCACTAATAGAATAGAATTCACAGGAGAGTTTTTTTTACAGGTGTTAGAGTATTTTTAGTCCTGTTGAGCGCTTTTTTTGCAATACTTGGTTTTCCAGGCACATGGATATTGCTCCCAGATTGTCAGGGTGATGCCCAGCACTGTCCCTGTGTTAGGGTTTGACTCCAGGGGATTTGTGCACATATTTACACTGCTGCCTTATCAGCTCCCATCTAGAGAGCAGAGAATTAAAGGAAGGTTGCCAGGGCTGTGGTTTCCATGGCTTGGGAGAGTCCCAGTGTGCTGGGAAAGCTGGAATCTGCACATTGGTGTGTCTGTGAGCTCCAGATGCAGCAGCTCTGAAGCTTTGGCTGGAATGAAGCTCAACAGTTTTGGGATTAGGAGCAACCAAGTGCATCTTGTGGCAGGAAAAAAAAGGTGCCACACAGCTGGAATATGATGGTCTGTGATTTCTCAAAGTATTGATGAAATTTTTATCCCTTAATCTTTATTTGCTTCTCTTTAAAGTTGTGGTTAAACTGTTGGACGAAAAGGAATTTTAGTTAATATTGATAAAATGGCATTTTTCACTCAGAATGTGGCAATAACAGTCTTTTTCCTGTACCAGTTCACTGCATTTTCTCTCCACATGCACCACTTTACTTCATTTTCAGGGCCAACGTCGTGTTTCTGCCTTATCATAAAGGCACAGAACTGGAAATCCAAAAACAGCCTCTTCCTGGCCAATACTTAATGACTCATGGAGCTTTTTGGGTCTGTTTCTCTGTTTTAGAAAAGGAACTTGCTGGATGGTAAATCTGGGTTGCAAAGCATTTAATTCTTGGAGAAGAAAAAGAAATCAAGCTCCTTTTCCTTAGTTTTCTGCTCTGTCTTGCAGATAAATGAAGTCAATGCACAAATGAATCAGCTTACTGAGAAAAGAATGATGAAGTATGAGCCAACAGATAGTAAATTTTCCATGTATCGCCAGCAGGTAAGAAGGGAACAAAATTGTGTTTTAAGGAAAAGCAGGAGAGAAAATCACTGATTGTTTTACATGCTGGGTTTTTTTTTCTTTAATTTATTTAGCATAAATCAGAAATACATAATAATGGAGGACAAAAAGAAAAATAAAGAGCTGTTGAACGTGTGTGTGTTGAGGGCTGAGCCAAGCAGTTGCTTTCAGCAGTGTCAGTGAACGTGTATTGACTGCTGTCCTTGCAGCACAGCAATTCTGGAAGGATCATTTTGGAGGAGCTATTTTGGTAAAGCTCCAGCTGTGGATGGATTCTCAAAAGGCAGCACGAGGGCTGCCTGCTGCAGCTCCATCCCCTCCTAGTGTCTGACCCCATGCCATTTTCCCTGTTACATCTATTAAGAAGGAATTCTTTGATTTTATTTTTTTTTTTTATCCTGAGGCTATAAAATAATCTTGCTACAAAATAGGCTGTCTGGTCTAGTCTTAGTAAATTCACAAGTTATAAAAAGGATTTATGAACTAGGAGATTTTCAGAGCTCACACAGAAACCTGAGTGGTTCCTTTTCCAGGCAACCTGCACCGCTGCTAATTTTATGGAAGATTTTCATGATGCTGCTCTTGGGGATGGCTTAAAAAATAAAAAGGCTCAAGTAAAATGTATCAGTGGGAGGGGAAAATTGGGATAAAATGTATAATGCAGTCCAGCCACAAATTCAATGTGAAACACACCATTTTGATTTGTAAGAGATGCTCTTCCCAAAAGAAAATCCTGCTCTGGAATGTGCTGGTTCCAAAGGCCAATTGGGCTGTGGTGGAGAGGAAGATCCACCCCAGGAGTTGAGGTTGCTCAGAGTTGGGGTCTTTGCTTTTTTCTGCCAGGACCTGGTTCTGTTCCACAGAATAATCATCTCTGTTGTACCAGTTTGTCACTGCAGATCCCTGGTGAGCTCCAGGGCTGAGCTCCCACCCCAGCACGATTCTGGCAGAGATATTTTTAGGAACAGAGCTGGTCCTTTCAGCTGAGTGTGAGAAAACTGGTGTGTTTTGGCTTTGTTTTTTTTGAGTTTTCCCTTCCATTTGAAGAAACCAACCATGCCTCCAAATTCATGCACGTGCATCTAAATTAACCTGTTGTTTTATTTTAAAATATGTTTCAACAGGATACTTTGGCAAGATAAAAATCCCTCTTTTTTTTTTTATCCCTGAACTAGTGTATATTATGTTCCCAAATCTGTCAGCTTCTGCTCAAAACTCAGGTATTATTAAATATGCGGTCTTGTATAAAATATTTTTCAAATGCTTTATATTCTAGACTCAGAAAGAAAAGTATAATCTGTAATCTGCACTATTTCTGTGCTGTATTGCTTTATTCATCATCTTCCAGCTATTTGCCAAGATTTAGTGGCTCAGTTCTGCTTTAGTGTAACATATTTCTGTAGGTTGGAGTAGGTTGGAGTTATAAAAATCTGTATTATGACATTTGTGAAATCTTGGATAACTTTCCAGTTAAGCCATGTTGGTGTATCTTACATATGCACAGAAAGGGACTAAACAGGAGAAATGGAGCAGCTAAAATGCCTCCCTTTTTCCTCAATGAAAGTGAAAAAATGAGGGGAAGAAATGTAAATGTAAAATGTAAAATATATCCACTTGAGTCTGGGCAGAAAGGGTGTGCTGGAAATCTCATCCACACTGGAGAAAGTTGGGATCCTGCTGCCAACTGCAGTGAGGCTGTGATTTAACCTGCTGTATATAATGGATATATTTGATATATACATCTATTTATATGTTTCCTTTGCAGTGAGACAGGCTCACGTTTCCTGATGAAAATCAGTTTCTGGCAGTTCAAATGTGGTTTCGGGGGGGCAGTGCCTGAAACCTGATGGGTTCCATTTTGCTACTGATCAAACAAGGCAATTTTGACTTTCCTGATCCTGCAGGCATCCATAATTTCCCGGAAAAAGGAAGCCAAGGCAGAAGAACTCCAGGCTGCCAAGGAGGAGATGTCCAGGCTGGAGAGGCAGGTGCAGCAGAGGAGCAGTCAGGCCCACGAGCTGGAAGGCTCTGAAATCCTGACAGAGGATGAGGTATGGGATGAAACAGTGGAGAGAAGGAAGAGGGGGATTTTTAAAGAGATGGATCAATTTTTGTTAACTCACAATTTCCTTTTAACTTTACACTGCAAATATAGTTGCTCCTTCTACAGCGTTTTTATGGTACATTGTTAGACCACACCATTGCCACTGGTTTTTTAATGCACATTTTTGTCATCAAATTCCAAAATTAACATATTTGAAGGCTTTTTTTTTAATGTGCAGATAATACAGTGCTGTCCAGTGCTTCCAAATGCTTTCCAATATTTATAGTGCAACAGTGCTGAATTTTTAGCTATTTTCAAATTATTAGTTACAATTATTCGCATGGTACCTAATTGCAAGGTCTGTTGGGCTGTCCTAACATTCCAGACTCTGGATCAAAATATCATCACAGTGTTATGATGGGAAATAACTGAATACAAAGGTCAATATAATTATAAATTGTATATAAAGTCTCTATGATTATAAAGCATAATAACAGTAATTATCAGTTAGTCCTGTGGTATTTATTCTCCACGAAAGTTTTTACTTGGAAAGCAAATTTCCCAGACTCTCTTTTTTCTCAAAAGTTTGCACAGAATAAAGGAGCTGCAGCTTAGTAGTGGTTTGTCACCAAAATAAATTGACTTTTCTCCAGCCAGTAATTTTTCCCAGTTTGGGAGAAGCTGCTAAGGGCACTCACAGGCAGAGTCACTAAATTGAAGAGTACTATAGCTGCTTCATTCTCTGACTTAATATATCTTTTCATTCTCTCACATATTGTCTTTGTTTGCCCTGCCACCATTTATCCAGAGGAACATTTCATTTGCACTGCCATCATTTATCCAGAGGAACACACTCTTTGCTTGCTTTGTCTTTGTTTTTGTGCTTTTTTTACTTACTACTCAATACAGGGAACGCCCTTTGTAGAAGGAACTCCCTTCCTAGTCCCATAGGACATTCCTGCTCCACAAAACCAGTTTTGTTTTAAAGGAGTCTTAAAGAGTAAAGTGAGTATGGATGAAAACTACAGGTGGAAGTAATGGCACAGGGACTTGGAAAAATTAAGATGTTGATTTCTCTTCCCATCACATATTGTATCACATTCCTTAGGCAGCAATTATAAGAAACCCACTGGATTAGATTTCTCTGCAAGGTTTTCAGCCCCAGTGGGCACATTGCTGGAGTCTTTGACAACTTTTTAAGCAAAAATAAAAGCAGAAATCTGACAATCTGTGTTTCATGACATGTGATGGAAAGAAGTGTTTAATTAATCAACAAGAATGCATTACCAAGACAGCAGCATATGTTTTACATTATCTGCACATTCACTGTAAGGTAAGAAATAATTCCTGTTGTGCCTGTTCTTGAGGGGGACAGGAAACTCTGATCCATAGAAATTCAAGGAGAACAGGGTAGGAGGGAAACCTCATAAGGAGGAACCTTTTAAAATGCTCAGTAATGAAAAATTCAAGTTAATTGTCTGACACAAGGAAGAGGCTCAAGACAGGAAAAGGACAAGACCTGTTTTGGACATGACCCGTGTTCCTTCTGTTCAAATATGTTCTGCTCTTGATTTTTAAAATATTTTCAATTTTAAAATGTCTTCATTTTGCAGAGTGAAGGATAAATGACTGAGCAATTTGGAGAAAACCATCAGCTTAAAATCAGGAGTGTTTGTCTTTCCATTGCAAGCATTTCCTGGTTTGTAAAATACTTTCTTCAAGGAAATATGTATTGGCAAGGAAACCAATATATACATCCATGTCCTGTTCTCTTTTATTACTTCCTTGGCTGTAGTGCAGTGGTACTCACAGGCACCAGTGTAAAGCAGTAAAAAGGGTGTTTCCTATGGCTAAAAACTAGGAAAGGGTTTGAATTCTTGATGATTTTTGATGGCTGCTTTTTCAAAGGTCCTGATTTCCTCATCTGTAAAGTGCAGACAGTGATATTTAATTCCTTTGGAAATGTTAGCTGCCAAAAATGCTGCACAGGGCCTCGTGCTGTAAATTTTGCATCTCCTCAAAGTACCTCGCAAATGCACATTGCAGAATCAGTCCTGCCTCAGAGGGGAGGTGTGGGAAGCCAGGACTGATGGATGGGATGGGGCTGGGAGGGAAGAGGAGATGGAGCAGGTTCTCCCTCATCAGTGCCAGCCTCGGTTCCTCACCCTCAGCCTTTTGCTGTAGATTAGTTTGCAATATGTTCTGCTTTAGGATTTGTATGTTCTGCTTCAGTGCTCTGTTTCTGCAGCTGTGAGCCAATAGCAAAGGCAATGGTGGTTAGTGCTGTGGTGAGTCACTGTTGCAATCCGTGGATTCCGTTGGACGTTCACCCTTCCCTTTGCACTCTGGCAACCAGGAGCTTCCCTGCACTTTCCTGTTGCAGCCACACACGTTTTACATTCAGTTCCTCCATTTTTAAAAGGGAGAAAGAGACTTTTTAACAAATAGCTTTGCTGTCTTAAGTTTAAATGGATTTTTTAATGGATATTTTAATCCCATCTGAACGCTACAGTGAAATCAAGGCATTATGTTTCTCCTATACCCAGTATTTCTAATCTTTGTCTCACCTTGCTCTCTCCTCTTACATCATGGCACTCCCAAGACTTGGCAATGGAAGAATCAGCACCTTTGCTCCCAAACCAGCCTTTGGATCTCCAGTTGAGGTCTTCTTAGCCCTTCAATCACCAAAAGGTCAATCCTGGCTTAGCTTTCCAGGTGCCAGCGTTTTGCTTTCTTCCATAGTCATAAAAAGGAATGTTACAGCATTCCACAGGGTTCCAGAGGTTGTACACCTGGATAGAACTCAGAAGAAACAGCAGGGAATAACCAATTCATTTACATCAAACACCAAAAAAATGGGAATAAATTGTCTGCTTTGGGGATTATGGAATCTTTTTAAGTGCTTCAAGCCAAGTGCACTGAACAGGGGCACAGTTGGCGGCTCCTCGTTGCAGCTGTCAGATCCTGAAAATTGGGGAATCACATGTTGACACTTAGAAGGCTGGATGGTTCAATTGCAAGTGATCCTGGGTAAAGCTGGGATATTTTTAGCTCTTTACACAACCCATTGTACTTTTCAGAGTTCAGCACAGGCCCCCAAGAACCTCGAGCTGCCCAAGGCATGGGAGCAGAGCAGTCTCAGAGCTGTGCTGAGCTGCAGGAGCTGAAATGAATCTGGGTTTGAAAATGTGGCAAAGAAAGTCCTCTCACTTTGTAACAGGTGTGTGAGGTTGGAATATTCATTTACATAAGGAGTTTAGTTATTTTTCCATAGAAATGCTTGTCCATGCCAACCTGCTCCTTGGAAAATACAGGGAAAAAATGTTTCAATTGGCAAACAGAGAAAACAGCCTGAGACCATAGATCTTGTCTCAAAAACTGTCCATTCACCTGAATCCACCAGGAACAGTTATCTCACTCCAGACTGGGTGGGTGGATTTTGAAGAGAGTAGCTGTAAAGGAGCTCATGACTCAAATGTTCACAGAATAAGAGAATCCCAGAATGGCCTGGGTTGGAAGGGACCTTAAAGACCCTGCCATGGGCAGGGACACCTTCCACTAGCCCAGGTTGCTCCAAGCCCCATCCAACCTGGCCTTGGACACTTCCAGGGATGGGGCAGCCACAGCTTCTCTGGACAACCTGTGCCAGGGCCTCACCACCCTCAAAGGGAGGAATTTCTTCCCAATATCTCATCAAATCCTTCTCTCTGTCAGTGTGAACCCATTTCCCCTTGTCCTATCTCTCCAGGCCCTTGTAAATGGTCTCTCTCCATCAGTGTGGGCTGGTTTAAGCCAGAACCCAGGAAATGTTGTCCTGTCAGTTGTTGCCTTTCCCTCAGCTCTCCCTCAGGCTCTAGCAGAGTCCCATTCCAGTCTGTCAGAGGCTCCTTAGACATGGATACTCAGTGCTAAGGAAGAGTTTTCCTGGCTGAGCTGTGCCACAAACAGACCATAGGATACTTTTGTTTTAATAGACTGAGGTCCTACTGCTTGTGCCTTTTAGAAGCTCATCCTGTGTATGAGTTATTAACTCTGTCCAACAGTGGCTGTACTGGCTTAAATTTGGAGCCTCTTAGGAAAAAATATGGAAAACTGTCATGATCAGGAACTTTTCTTAACTGAATTTTAATACTTTGGACAGTCTGTATCCTGTTAATTAGTCTAGTTAGAAATTAAAACATCTGTTCCTCAGTTCTTAAGGAAAATAGAGATAGTCTGCTAAGATTTTCTTCAATTATTCTGCTTATGCAAATAATTTTATTAACAGAACTGGTTATTTGGAACTTTGGTTTGGTATTTCATAAAGAAATACTGGTGGTTTTTTACAAATAATACTTTTTTACAAACAATACTTTTTTTTGTAGTACTTTTGTATGAAGAATTTTTTGATTACAATAACACAATCAAATTGCTGCATTAATCCAGCAAATACTATTTTAAAAGATTTGACTCTAAAGTGAGGGATTTATGTGAGATTTGTTCTTTTCAGAAAACAAGCTTATCCATTTTGTCCTTTAATGATAATCTTGGAGTAAGAACCTTGTGAAAACTTCACATGGAGCAACTGGGAGTTTTAAAGAAGTGATGGGCTTGTAGTGAAAGCACAAGACTGAGCATTAGAGGAGCTGTGTTGGGATCCCAGTTCAGTCCACTAAAGCACAGGCTGGTGTCCTTTCCTGGAGGGGGGTCCTGCCAGGCTCTGCATGGTCCTGGAGAAGCCATTTCAACATCCCTGATTTGATGTTGTGTTTAGAACTGTTGTCATATTTAATAACTTCACTAAGCGTGGTGAGACTTAATGTGGTCATACCAACCTCTCTCAGATTCTAATAAATGGAGAAAAGCATAAAGGAGGTGGATTCTTCCAATAAAAATGGAACATGATGCAGGAAATCTGCCCAGGGATGGTGGATACCTGCAAGACATTGTATGAGAGATCAAAATCCTGCTTTCATTCAGTGATCCCATAATCCACATTCCACACTTGTTATGTTACACTCACCCATAAAAATAGCCAAGTGAAAAAGCAGAATCTTTCCTTGCTTTCCTTTGGATGGTTTTTGTGTCTCCAGGGGCTCTGCCTCGATCAGCAAACAGGGGCTCCAGGCTAGTTTGCTTCAACCGCTCACTCAGTGCCAGCACTTGGGTCTTGTCCAGTCATTTAATCTTTGAAGCTCAAATAACTGTTTGTGTTAAATGACTTGAGAAAGAAAAGCTACTGGTGGACGTGGCCTTGACTGGAATATCACTGCGGGCACGGGCAGATCCCTGGGAATTCTGTAGGATGAGCCTGCTGAGTTTGGAGCAGCTGAGCTGGTCTATGGGAAAATGCTGCTGCTCAAAAGTGGAGTCCTTTGGTTACTTAACTTTAAAGTGATGTGGCCAAGCAGTGTTGTTCCTTTGTGAACTCTTCAAGTTATGTAGAAGACCTTTTACCACAGTAAAATTCAAGGGTTTATAGCATTGCAAGGGCTTGAATTTTTCGTCTCCACGGAAGTGGAGGCATGAGATTTATAAAGCCTGAGAAGCAATGCTGACATAAATGAAAACAGTGGTATTTTACAAGGAGCTTTCTTTTAATTTTTAGAAACCTACAGAATGATTCTCAGCTTTTAGACTGAAGAAACCTAATTTTATCATAAGATCCCTACATGCTGCTTATTTAAGAGGAGTAAAATCTAAGAATTCCAGCTCAGAATTTGACCCTGGATCTAAAGGAGCCTTCAATCAGACAGGTTTTAAGGGACTAATGTGTGCTGCCTTTGGAGTAGATCAGGTCTTTTGAAAGCTCTGCCAAATTATTGATTGATTTTCTACATAGATTATAATTTTGCTACCATTGTTTTTATCTTGTTTTACCTTGTTTGCTGCAATAATAGCTGTGTGAAAGGTTAAGTTTGCTTTTAAAAAGCCAGAGATTGTGCTGAAAGACTGGCATCCACCTCCTAAAATGAACAGGTTTCACTTGTCACCGTGAGCATTTTGGATAAAATTTGTATTATACAGTCCTAAGTTAATCAACTAATAATAGAACAGTGGTGGAGTTGGTTCATTAATCAACAAGATCCTTTGACTTCCATTGTAAAATACATTATGCTTTGAATACTGAATATGCAAATACTTTCCCTCCCACTTGAGCTATTTTCAAGACCTTAAAAGTAGCTAGAGAAGAGAAGAGAATAATAGTTTGCTTTTCATCCTGGGATCCACTGACAGAAGATCATTCAGATTCGATAGCTCTGTGTGGCCACATATTAAATTTAATCCTGTACATCATCATTTACTATATTCCACTGGTCAAATGAAGTATCTCAGGAACTACTTGATCAAGATTGTGCTTCCTTTAGCTTTTCCTCAGTTGGAGAGCTTGTATTTATACTTTTGGAATCTCTTAGAAATCACAGAAAACTTGGTATTGTCTAAGCAATTTAAAAAAAAAAGTTCTTTTTATTAACTAAGAGGATATACTTGAATTTGCTGGGAAAAGGAATAAATTCTGGTTTGACTGTATTAAGTAAAAATAAAGAGTGTGACAGTGGCAGAGCTGCCTCAGCCACGCTGGGGCTCAGGTGACCTTGTGTATCCTTGTCCTGGGTAGTAGCAGGATGTAGGATGTTATCCCAAAGCCACAGAGAGGCCAATCTGCATAGAGCACATTGAGTAATTTGTGGGTTTGTTCTTTCACCAAAAACGTTTATAGCTTTTGGCTTTAAAAATAGTTCTGGAGCGTAGCAAGAGAGAGGCAGCTTTGGCCTAGATATTGCACAGGATGGCAGATGAACAGGGTTGATTTCATTGTGGGCACCTTGCCCAGGACACTTTTTATAGAACATACAGTTACTCTGGGGGTTCTTAGCCTGTGGTCACATTGGGTTTTTTGGATTTATTCTTTAGAAGGGAGAGGGATAATTTTGCGAAAAGAAAAAATTCATGTAAATATCAAAATCTGAAGTAATTTTATGTTTGAATTTTAAACCTGTGTCAGTGGTAATGGGATTCTTTTTCCTCCTGGGGCTGCCTGGTTTGTGCTCCCTGCACACACTGAACCCTCCTCATCAAGGGGTGTTCTGAAGCCTGTTCTTACAACATTTACTCTAATAAATTTTATTTGCTTTCCATCTCTTAGTGCATTTTTGAGCTGTGACTGGCATTTAGCTCATAGCTGTCATGTAAAATCCAAGGATAAGAGCTAAGCCTGTATGACAGATGGAAAATATTAAGGCAGAGAAAGATATTACCTGGTTGTTTCAGCCTCTGGTACTTGGTATGTGTTACAAATTCAACATACACAGGTTCAGGTGTAAATTAGCTAAGGCTGTTGGTCTGTAAGGATTTGTATTATTTTACTTAGTCTTTAATAAAAATATAAATTCTCCATTACTTCAGATTTTGAGTGAAATAGGTATTGCATTCTCTGCTTCAGGGCAGGGGTTCTGCTTTTGTTTGCCTGGTTTAAAAAACTTAGCCAGTGATATTTAGATCTGCAAGAGTCAAGGAGAGGGAACAAGTTTTAACTATTGAGAACATTTCAAGATAGTTTTTCCCATGCCCTCTTCCCTTCCAATTTTCCTGCACTCTGTTGCAGAGCTCTGGGGTTCTGATACAAGTGCAAATTACTATTGCATTAACTTTTTTATTATCCATGATTCTCATAACATTTTGCAAAGAGTATTTACTTTTCCAGCTGTCAAATGGTGGTGAGCAGAAGGGAGTGATCTCAGGATTACAAATGAGTGCACTGGGACGGAAAGCAATGCTGGTTCTTTTGATTTCACCCAGTGAACAAATGCAGAGCTGAAAATAAATAGAGCCTGGGAATCCTGAATTCCAGCCCTCTGTTCTAAACACTTCATCTTCAACGTGCAGGCCAAGGAGGATAATTACATTTTACACAGCAACAGGCTGTGATAAGGCCCTTCTTGCTCTCAGTGAGATGAGTTTGTGTTCTCTCTCTCCCCAGCTCAAGCAGTACGTTAATAAGCTCCGCAGCAAGAACACACTTTATAAAAAGAAGCGCCTGGAAATAGCAGAAATTACAGCTGAGTATGGAATCCTCCAGAGGACAGAGGAGCTTCTGAAGCAGCGCCACGAGGCCATTCAGCAGCAGTTGGTAACATGAGCATGTGCTGCTCCCACAGCCCTCCCTTCCCTGCTAACAGCCATAGGATCCCACGGATGCTGTTGGGATTCTGATGTACATCGTCCCCGCTCCTGCTGTCCTAACCCAGAGAGCCATCAGGGTATAGAATGTATTTTTATCTGTTGACTGTGGAGCTGCTGTACTTTGTGTTCAGCAACTGTCAGCACCGATCTGCAGTTTCTTTTTAGACTGAGGGGCTTGACCCTGCTTTTTAGAGTCAATGGTAGGTCTGCACGAACTCCAGTTAGAGCAAGGCTGGGTTCTTAAATTAGTTTTTGCTATCCACAGATGTAGTAAGGGCTTTGAAAACGATCAACAGTGAGTAGGATTCAAGTTACTGCTGTATTTTACTGCTGTAAAATATATGGGAATAGTATTTAAAAAAAGATCAGGCAGGAAGGAAACATTCCAGCCCCAGAATATTTAGAAGAAAATGCATTTAAATTTAAAACTGGATGAATCTTTCCTAAGCCAGAACAGCAGCAGCAGGATTTCTCTCTGGAGAACTGTAAGCATTCAGGGAATATACATTCATCCCAAATGCAGGAACACTTTCTGTGGTATTTTCTTCTAATACCTGTATTCTTGTTATCAAAATAGTTTATAAAATCATTAGCTACATGTTCTGATGAAGCATCTGGATTTTATACATTGAGCTTCTTCAGAGCCTGACCACAAGCCCACTTTGCTTTGTGGAAACTTTCTGTTCACTTCAGTGGGCACAGTGACCAAACATTGCATTTACAGAGAGTTGTTGTCATCCTGCTGTACAGGCACAAGATAAAATTTAGTTTTGCTGGCAGCTAGATTAATAATAATAAATTGGTTAATAATAATAAATTGATAAATAAAATAAATTGATTGCAGTACTTACCCTTTTCACTTCTTTACAATATTTTGGCTTCACTAAGGAATTTGCTGTTTCTTGGTTAATGGGGTTAATTCAGCATTTACTGTTTGTGTCTGCAGCAAGCGATTGAAGAGAAAAAAGGCATTTCTGGATACAGTTACACCCAGGAGGAGCTGGAAAGAGTCTCTGCAGTGAAGAGTGAAATGGATGAAATGAAAGGCCAGACATTAGATAATATGTCTGAAATGGTGATTTTTGTCTTAAACTACTGTATCTGCTCAGTTTGAATATCTAGTTCCTCAGCATATAACCCCAAGTTTAATGTTTTTTTGGGGGGCAATAATTTTTCTTAAATCTATGTTTATATATATATATATATATATATATATGTATAAAATTCAGATACATCTCCAAAGGTAATCTAGACAAAATTTACTAAAATGTGCATTTCTTTTAATGTACAAAGAAGAGCTATATACAAAAATAAATCCTACAAATAAATCCTCCTTTCCTCCCCTTCAGAAACCTCAGGGGTATCAAGTCTTGTCTTTGATTTTTTTACTTTTTTGTGATTTCAGAAGTGGTTTCGTATTTGTTCTTGCACATTATTTGAAAGAGATGAATGGTTTCAATCTGTAACAGAATCTTTTTCTAAAATGTTTGTAAATCACTGGAGTTCAGCTTTTGTTAGAAAGATACTTAATATGCTTAAAGAGCTAAATAGCTTGTCTTTTTCTCTATAGCCTGATTTTCAATTGCCCTTAGATCTGTCATGTTTTAATTTACCTGCCCACATAGCTGTAGAAGCAAGAAAGAACTTGAATTTCTAATTTGAAAATATTATAAAAGAGCAAAAAGCAAAATAGCGTTTTTTTTAAATCATCGAGGCACTTTTAAAATAAAATGGTATAATTAAAGTAGAATTGCTCTCAAATACAAAGCTGGATAAAATTTTAATTTTCAGTGTAAATATGTCTGTGTGCCTCAGTTTTAGCATTTTCAAGCTTTATTTAACCTATGCAGGTTTGTTTGGTTTTTTTCTTAAGGATTTCTCCCTTTCTTTCAGTCTCCCACTATGCAATTCCTTCATTTTCCCTACTCCTTAAGCTCTTTGGTATCTGGCACATGGGCTGTCTCCTGGAATTCTCTGGGATGTTCTGGGAGCAGAATTTGTCTCGTTTATGGGAATGACCCCGCTGCCAGATGGGCTCTTTCCCTGTCCTAATTAGACCTGAACTTGGTTATATAATTAAGGCTTCATTTATATATAATTCGTACATAATTATGGCTTCATCACAGATTTTTTTCTCCCCACATTTTTCTTTGTCTCCCCTTTCTTTTCAAATCCCTAATTACATGAATGTACTTTTTAGTGTTAATGAATATTCTTTTGTCCCTTTCTCAGGTAAAGAAGCTGAATGCAGTGGTGGCAGAGAAGAAGGCAAGCCTTGCTCCTGTCATCAAAGAGCTCAGGCAGCTGCGGCAGAAGTGCCAGGTTTGTACCAACACTCCTCTCTGTCTGTGTAAATCAAGTCAGAGCACAAAGAAGTCCAATTTACAGATCTCTGTAGTGCTCTGCAAGGATATAACTCTGAGGGAAAGCTGGAAAGAGCAGAATGGGTCAACAGTGTTTGCAACAGGCAACGTGCTAAAGGTTGGAATTTGTAAAAGCTGACAGTGCAGGCACAGAATTTAGTCCTTTATAGCAATTTTAAAAATTACTACACCAGGGAAAATATAAGAAATCATGGTTCAAACCCAAAGCAAAGTTAGTTTTGGGTTGGTTCCAAAGCTATTTCTGCATCTCAGCATTAATGATCCCAACTAGTGCTCTCCTTTCTGAATGGTTTGCAGATAACATCTCATTGAAGTAGTTGAATACATTAATCTAAGTCCTGTGTTAGTCTGTGGGACTGACAAATTTATCCATTTGTTTTCAAAATTTTACAGAGAGCTGAAAAAACAAGTCTTTTGGGTCTACAGCTGCCATAACTTGGCTCATTGCCATGGAAGGAAATAGGGTGATGCATTTATCTATCAACAAAATTATCAGAAAAACTTTCAATGTTTCCATTCAAAGTGTCAGCAAATGAAATCTAGGAGGAGTTGGATGTGCATAACTAGAAATCTGTTTTTTCATAGGGAGCAAGTAAATTTATCCTGTCTCAATGTCTACTTTTATGGTTGTCCTTTCTTCTTGCAAGCACAGCCCTGTTACCTGACCACGGTAAAGCCATGGATGGGGCTGGACAGAGGAGATTCCCTGAGTGTCTCTTTGGCCTGAGTGTCACGTGTCAGTCAAAGGAACATTTCATTTATGTGCCCTTTTGCCCTGTTCACCTCAGGAATTAACTCAAGAATGTGATGAAAAGAAAATCCAGTACGACAGTTGTGCGGCCGGGCTGGAGAGCAATCGCTCGGCCCTGGAGCAGGTGAGGTGGGGCTTGGTTGTGCACACAGAGAAATGCAGCGTGTTAGTCCCTGTGGTACAATATTTCCCCTGCTTTCCCTCAGGATATGGGAGGTACAAATCCACTTCAGGTGGGAATGAGTCAGTGGTGATCCCCAGCTTTGCAAATCCTGCCTGAAGCTGCTGTGGAGTGGCTGCAGTCACACACAGCAGATGGACTCGGGGGTACCTCATCCAGCTTTGATGAGCAAGGACGGGCATCTGCCAGAATTCCTGCTGCTCTAGATAGTATCTGTTAGGGAAGAATTTGACTACAAAATAAGGATTAATTTATCAAGACAAATCTTTCTATGCATTTAGCAGATTCTTTACATTAGGAACCAATCCCAGGGATAATTAATGACTGACACTGATGGCAAGGAGACTTCATTAAATGGGACTGTCTTGTATTCCTGTATATAAACAGGGTTTAAAAAAAAACAACATACAGGTTTAGCTAAGAGCTTGTGTGTCTGTAATTTGTGCATTGCCTGAAGGAGGCTCTTAAAACAGCCCAGTCCTCAAAGGTGGGCACAGTATCAACATGTTTATGTGGATCTGCTTTATCTCACTTGATCACCTCCTGTGAATTTTGACTGGGCTTGGATTTTTAAGGCCTTGCCCACAAAGGATTATACTTCAAGATAAAAAGGGAGTGCATTTAAAGTGTCGGTGGATGTATACATAGTTATTTTCCTGCACTAAAAGTACTTTTGTATGGTAAAAGAATCCACAGATGGACCTGGTATGAAGTCAGACAGTTCTGTAAGAACTGTCTTATAACAACAATCAAGGCTTTTTTTCTTGGCAGACAACTCTTAGTAATTTTCTGACACATGATGACAGTCACATCCACTAATTGAACTGGACATGAGTAGAATTCAGTTTTACAGCTGATGGTGTGAAAATCACACAGTGACAGAGCTCGGGAGTCGACAACTGCAGTGTGACCTGGAGAACAGGATTTGGATTATTGGGGTTTTTTTGGAATGGACCATGTAGAGATGGGAGTAACCCACTTTCTCCATACTGCTTCACATAATTATTGATTGCTCATTAACATCCCATTAGCATGTCTGTACCTTCTAACATCCCCTTTGCAGATGTGTTCCAGGAAATGCTTGTTCACAGCTGTATTTGGCACTTCAGATGTGCTGAGGAACAAGAGTCTTGGCAGCACTTGTGAAGTGTTTGGAAGTCAGTCATTAATAATCACCCATTAACAGTCATTTCTCATCTCTGACTACGACTGAAACTGCAAATCTAAACCCAATCAGCTGTATTTCACTTTAAAAGAGACTTCTGAAAAGCCCAAATTATATGAACATCTGAGAAATTATTAATTCAGGATTATTCTTATAAACTCTCACGGTTTATATGGCAACACAGGGCATCTCCTGGGGGCTTTCAGTCACCATGTCCTTATTCTCCCACAGGAAGTGAAAGGGCTCCTGGAGGCGTGTGCCCAGGAAGAGAGCAACTACCGTTACATCCACTGCATGAAAAGGGTAAGGTCACAGGAGGGGCCAAATTATTCATTCTGGAATAAGATTGCAATATTTATATATGTAGATATTTAAATTATGTATTTTTATAGACCCTGGAGGTCCAACTGCAGCGGGCTAAGGAAGAAATGAAGGCCTATGTGTCCCCAGACCCACAGGAGCGACGGAAGGCGATCCGGTGAGTCCATCAGTGTGTTCCCTCTGTGGGATGAAGGATGTCCATAAACTGAGGCTGAAGTCAGGAATTTTCTCACTGGCATTTGAACTGGAGGAGTTCACCTGATAAATTTAGAAGCACTATAATAATCTAAAAATAAGCAGCTCAGATTCCAGTCTATACTGCTGTAAACCTACAAGTTCTCTCAGACATTCCAGAAGGTTTTCCCTTCCCACTGAAGATTCTCAGCCTCAGAGAGAGGTTTAATTGCACCATCCCATGAACCTCCATGGTTACCCTCAGTTTCATTTACTCCAGCATAAAGCCATTTGCTTCACCCTGTGATTCTTTTCAGGACCCCTCACCTTTGTCTGGCAGGGAGAGAAGCAGGAAATACTATAAATTGAGTTGCTGATTATTTTTGGTGTAGTTTTAGTCCTGCCAAAGATGGAAATGTTTTCTGAGAATGAGATATTTTGGATTAATTATCTGTGCTAAGAAGTCTAAATATTACCATGTCATAGAGATTTTTTTACACTTTACTAAATATTTTTGTAGAACTATCCTGTTTAAAATTTGTGTATGTTCAGTCCCATCTCACAAAATAATGGAAGGCTGTAGGAAATAAAGGATTTGTCTAATGAAGGACAAGGAAACAGCAAAATTAAACAGAAGGATGACAAGAGAAAACCCTTAGTGATGATGTGAGTATTTATGAGGATGAGGAGCAGCTGAGGCAGCGGGGTCAGACATAAGGCACGGCCCTTCTGCGGCTGTGGGGAAGGGGGTGCTGGGTTCGTTCTCAAATGCTGAGCAAAAAACACTTGGGAAATGAACATCCAGGATGTGAGTGTTCACATGGACCAGCCATCAGAGCCTGCTGCTGGAATGGAGCATGAGCCCAGCTCTGTAATTCCAGGTATGGTGAGGGGAATGTGAACACAGTGTCACCCCTCTCCACTGTCCCCGTTTCACTTCCCGGCTGTGGAAATTATCCTCCCACAGGGACTAGACACAGTTCTGACCTTTTTAAGAGGTCACAGACCCGTCTCATTTAAATGAATTACAGTAAAGTTCAATAGAGAGATCCTTGCAAAATATAAAATGAGACAGTAACATTTGTCTCTAGACATCCCTTTAGAACCTGAATGTATTTTTCAGCAGGCACTGGAATGTAAACGGAGTAAAAATGAAGCATAAATAGACCAGCACTTTCCTAGCAACGTATTGAACAAAAAATGTCTTAATTCAGACCCTCTTTATTGAATATAAACTCTGTTCTGTGGAGTCACTTCTTAGGAATGTGAAAAGTTAATTTTCTTCTCTAAAAATAGAAAGTCGTGGGGTTTTTAACAAAGTTATTAAGTTACATTCTTTCCAGTCATCATTATAAATAGTAAAGAAAAACTTACTAGAAAAGACATAAAATCTTCTGATTACTTTGAAAACTCTACTTTTAAAAAAAAGGGTATTCTTGAGGCCAAATGTGTTAGAACATGTGCTGTGTGCCAGGGCAAACAAGCAGCTTCAGCCTCACCTCTGGGTTGGTGACAATTCCTGGGGATCAGCGGGACAGCAGAGCACCTGGAGCAGCCTTGGGATGGCTCTGATTCGTCCTGGCTGGAATTGTACAAGAGCAAGAGATCATAAAGTGATCCAGCTTCATTCCTGTGGCAGGCAGGACCAAGTGTTCCAGTCAAAATCCTGGAGTACTTGGTAGAGAGGGAAGGAATAAAGGAACGCGATACCAGGAGTTCACCCGGCTGCTCACCATGTTCCAGCAAACCTTCACACTCTGGCACCACCATGGCTGGCATTGCTTTCTGGAAATTAGGATTTCTCTACACAAAGGTCTTCTACCCTGAGCAATCTGGAAAGTCCTTTAGATGAGCTGGGTTATTTCGAATTCCACTAGCACACCCTCACACATAAATGCAATGATTACACACAAAATATAATTGATTTTTTTTCAAGTGACTCAGTGAATAGTTTTTTTCTATTGTCACATTGAAAAAAAAATTTGAAGTAAGTCCTAGTGCTGTCTCTGAACGGGGCTGTTGTGGTTTGCATGTTCAATTGTCAGGGTTCATGTGTCAGGTTTGGGTATGTCAGAGTGATCAGCCACTTGTTACAGACCAAGGTGCACAGCCAAGACTTTTAGTAATGAATGTCACCGGTTACGCTGCTTGGCCTATATTTAGGCCTCGAAATGTGAGGGCTGTTTTCTGAGGGAGGAACGCACAGCAGTCCCATTGCAGCCCCTGGGGTTGTCAGACCTGGGCTGAAATACTATTCCCCTTCATTCCTGTACTTTCCCACTCATTCCAACGCTGCATTCCCAGCAATTAAGGGCTGTGGATCCGTGAACTCTGACGCTCGCCATGGTTCACCTCAGGATATCACCAGGATAAATGCATTATGACAGGGGATCAGGTACATCTTATCTGGAGGATCTCACTGTTGCCTTCAAGCTGGAGGGAGGAGTAATCGTGTCTGCTTCAAAAATGTAAGAGATCTTACCCAGTGTCACTTCTCCCAACTGCACAGCTGAGACAAGGAGACCTGATCCTTGATGTCAAGGGATATGTTGTCCAATAACAAAAAGGTTTCTTCCTGCTATGAACCTCCCAGTACTTCCATCCTTTTCCATGTTTGCATCATTATTCTGTCCTGTTATGTAGAACCAAATCATGACAAAATCATTTTATATTTCCTTTAGAGAACAGTATACACGGATGATCCTTGAACAAGAAAACCTTGGGAAGGTGAGAATGAGGCTTTTACCTGGTACAAAAGTTGGACAGTTCATATTTTTGTGGGGTTTATTCCCAAAGGCTGTGGTTAATCTTTTATAAAAAGCATATTGCAGCCTACAAAGAAAATTCCATCACTGCTGGCATTGGTAACTAATACCCTGGAAAGGGATCCTGCTCACTCCTCAGGGCTTGATTTCCTGCAGGGAATAGCATGAGCTGCTGTAAAAGATGTCAAACAGCTCAATGTGACAGCACATTCCCTGAAAACCATTTGGATAAGAAACTGAAACACGGGCATAACGAACTGTGCCAGCTCAGATTTTCTGTTGTATATAAAGCAACCTGTTGAAGACAATAAATTCTGAGCCTGTCAACCTTATCACTGTTGTTAAAGGCCAGGGGATCATCTGCCTTAGACAAAACCAGTTGTCCAGTTTTAATCTTGTCTGAAGCTCAGATCAGCATGGACAAGGTTGGGCTTAGCAAGTCACACCAAATAGCTTTTATTAATTTCCTTTTCTGAGTCAGTTTGGGGGGTTTTACAGCTTTGGGCTGCCACTATTAATAATCAGGAGTGGGTTTAATTGTAAAACATTGATTTCATGTTTTAATATCATGATAGGAATCCATTGCATATTGCACCTTGATACTGCAAGAGCTCTGTGTGGAAATGATCTCAGATTTTTAGCATAAGTTCTCAAATAGATAAGACTAATATTTAGACAGTTAAAATCCATGGAAAGAGTTGTCAATCTGTACAAAGATCTGAGTCCCAGGTGTGAATGCATTTAGCACTTGCAGGGAGTGTTACCAACTTGAACAAAACAATATCTCAGTAGCATTCCAAGCTGTGTGAGCAATTCTTGTGGCGTAGAACTCTTCCAGAAATCTAATGTTTTTGTATTTTTCACAGAAATTACGAGAGAAGCAGAAGGTTGTACGGGAAAGTCACGGGCCAAATATGAAGCAAAGGAAAATGTGGCAGGACTTTGAGCAGTTAATGGAATGTAAAAGAGAATGTTTTCAGAAACAACAAAATCAAGCAGCCATTGGTCAGGTCATTCAGGAAGGAGGTAAAGACAGGCTTGTGTTATGAATTCTTCCTCCCAATACCTACATGAAGTGGCTGTGTTGGCTTCTGAACAGAAAACTCTTACTAAATCCTGTTGCTTTCATCAGTTCTACAATTTTTGTACAGTATTTGGTTTTGGTGGATAAACAAAGAGAGCAACAGACCCGTCTGTGAAGCTTCTCCTCCACTGTTTCAGTGACCACGTGCTGTGGTTGGAAGGTCTGTTGGAAGAGCTGCACTGGGGTGAAGCTCCTCCTAAATCCATGGTTTATGAGGCTGGGAAGGGCATCTGCAGAGAGATCAAAGAGAAACAAATCCTTCTCTGGGGTCAGAGAAAACTTACATAATTGCTCTGCCTCTCATTCTCTATCGCTAAGGTTACATTTTTGCAAGGCCTGGGGCTTGATATTGTATAATTGTGGCCCTCCTGGCTTGGCCCTCTCCTTCCCTATTGTCCTTATCCATGCAGTGTGACTGCAGGAGCTGCACAGCCCTGGCCTCAGAGCCCTGCTCAGACTTTCCTGGTCATACTTTCCCTGCACGGTTCAGTTCAGCTGATTGTGCTTCCAGGAGACACTTCATTGCTGCAGCGTCAGGAGTCGCTTTGGAGAACAATCACTTGGGTTCTGAGCTTTTTCCATTATCTTTTGTTGTTGTTTTTAACAGAAGTATTTTTCTTGCACATTTACCTCCTTTATTTTATTTTTTCTGAGTTGCCCATGTGAAAAACAGAGGTCGAGTAAATCTTTCCCCTGTGAGGATGTTTTAAGCTGCTTTGTGTGCACAGGGTGGTTCCAAAGGGATTACACACCCAAAGAGGGTCATCTCCTCCCTCTCTTTTGGCTTGCTGGATTTCTAGATAGGTTGGTGGGGTTTTTTATAGTTTTTCTTGCCTGAAGTAGGATGTCTTTTCAGGATATAAAAAAAAATATTTTTGCTTTCTTTGATACCTAACTGTGAGATCTTCTGCTGGTTTCTATATCCAGAGAGAGTATGGTAATTATAGAGTTCCTAGTTTGTCTTTGCATTAAATACATTTGTTAACAGGACTAAAATAAAAGCTGGCAAAACTATATTGTGACTGTCTGGTATTCTTCTTTTTCACATTTCTTAGGTGAAAGAAGGAAATTGTTAGGGGCTGGGCCACAGGAAAAAGAAGTTTGAATGGCTCATTTAATGACATTTATTTCAGACGCCCCCAAAGGGTTCCCAAGGAGTGGAGTCAGATCCATAGATCCCAGGACAGGCTTTGTACCTGCCTGCCCTGTTCCAGGATCACCACATGGCACCTGCCTGGCTCATCAGGGCTGCTGACTGGAGAAAGTCATGACAATCCCATTCCTGGACTTCTAATGGAGGGTTTTGCAGAAGGCTTGACAGCAACAGTAAAAGAATGCAGACAAGTAGATATGAGACATGCTGAAAACGTGAGATAATCACCAAAAATGGGCATTTAGGTTACTTAGGAATCAGCCTCTGGTTCAGAGTCACTAGACAGGGCAGGGAGAAAGGGGATTTCTTAGACTTTAAGTCAAAACTTTTAGCAAAACCTTAGAAATCCTATTTGACTGGACCATTTACACAAAGATGTATGACAGGGATTAGCCTGCTACCCAGGAAAAAGCAATGCCTTGGAAATTCATGGCAGTGATGTGGAGTAAGATTGAGTACAATCATTTTCTGTTTTTCTGTTCAGAGAAACTAAGAATAGTTCATCTTTCTCCCTTGTAAAAACAGTTTATTGCTAGTTACTCAAAGATGACGTGATTGTTGTTCTGATCTGATTAGTACTCTGTCATTTGTGCTGCACCAAGAAAGGGCACACAGATTATACACTGCAGCAGCAGCAGCAAAATGACTTTCTGAGATGAAGCAGAAAATCATAATAACCGTTATCAAAAGAAAATTGGAAAAACTCAAATGCTATTTTTAGCTTTTTATACAAGTGGACATTTAATAAATGCAGCTTTAATGGATTCTGTTCACTGGCTTTTCCACACAGGTGGGAGCATTCAGAAATCTTTGAATTTCACAGTTTTATCTTCCTATCCTGCAACAAAAAGCTAACTTCTCATTTTTTTAATTTCTGATTATTAATAGCCTGGCTGGTTTATAAAATTAAACATCCCACATGGCAAAATACCTGCCTTCCCCTTGGGAAGGTCCAAATAAATCAAAAGTGTGTGTGGGCAAATTTGGGGCTGCAGCACTTACCAAATTTCTGCTGGTTGGAACAGTGATCTGAGCAGTCACATGAGCAGCAGCTCACTTTGTTTCCAAAGGCTTCTCCTTGTCCTTACCCAGAACTGGAGGAGGAAGCAACCCAGCTATAAGACTACTGTAATATTCTGCAGCTTTGGGGGATTTAGTGATGTTGATTTCAGCTGTTCTTGTCTAAGTTCCACATAGACCTGAGAGATAAAATAGTTCCGGGCATTAGAAAACACCACATCCACCCTCTTAAAGGAGCAGTCATTTACCATCTGGGTACCACATCATTTGGGTTATATTAGTGGTACCATTTTATTTCCATTTGAACTACAATAACTAAAATAAATGTTCTTATACTTCCTTAGCTAACCCAAATCTAGGATTACTTGTTTCTGTCTCTTCACTCCCATGGATATTACTGCTCAGGTCGTCACATGCATATAGTTGCCCACAATCATAAAAGTTAGGCCCTTCTTTTGCATTTATTGTGTTTACTTGCACCAGTTTCCAGAGCTTTCTTGATAAGACTTCCCTACTGTGAGCAGTGTGATGCTGTTCACTGTTCCAAAACACAGAGCAGCAGAAGTGTTCAGCAGCAGCTCTGTGCCTGGAAATGTCCTCATGATGAGGACATTGTGATTAACGAGCAGGGACACTTTACTACCCAATAATCAATATGGAATCTGTTCTCCTGGTGACTTGCTGGTTCAGGAAATGGACAAGCAGTTCAGAGCTGCTTCTCCTTGGACCAGTATTTCATGCCTGGCCCTGAAGGACGGCAGTGAAAGCTCCCTGGCTGTGCCCAGCGAGCCATCGATGCAGAGCCATTTGGCAGTGCCAGTCCAGTTCCTAAATCAGCTCTCTGGCAGTGCTTGGCCAGCCTGGAGTCAGCTCCCACATGGAGGCAGGTGGTGATTGACTGAAAGACGTGGAGGGTGGAGCACTGTCACCTGGAAGGTGTGTCCCTTTGGGAGAAAGGCAGGGACACATTCACTGAAGAGTTGGACTCGGTGATCCTTGTGGGCCCTTCCAACTCAGAATATTCTGTGATTCTGGGACACTGTTATTGTCACCTTGCCTGGGGATGAGGAGATGCTGGTCCTTGGTGGATCTGGGTTCTCTCTCTGGCCCTGCATTTGCTCAGACTTCAAAAAATCAAGCCTGTGTGTTCCTGGTGTTATCACTCCCAGCCCTAGGTTCCTGCCAAGGGAACACAATTAACTCTTCACCTGCCTCTTTCTTGTGCAACCTGGAATGGAAACAGGGTCGACATTCCCATGGACGTGCTGGTGTTCCAGTGAGGAAGCATTGCACAAATCAACAGCTTTATCACAAGGTCCCACCTGTCTGGGCAACACCCATGTGGGTAGTTGTTCTCTCACAATCAGTATTTGACCTATTTCCAGCTTGTTTCAAGAGTCCTCTAAATTCTCAGCATGAATTTAAAACGGGTTCTCCAAATTCCCAGTGTCTGTTTCTGTAGCAGTAGTTTCACAGTGGCAGCCTCCAAATTCCCGAGGCAATCCGTGTTATCCCAAGGTCAGTGGGTGAAAAGGGTATTTTTCCACAATTGCATGACATTGATTTTCATGATTCCAGTTTCCAGGCTGCTCCCTGGTGATGTCACCCCGGGTGAGGAGCTCTGGGGGTTTGGAGAGGGAGCAAACATGTTCCAAATAATCCTCAGGAACTGTGAGACAAACCACACCAGCCTTACTTTGACAAAACCCTCTCCGACTTCAGTGGGAGTTTTGCCAAAATAAGGTCTGCTGGATTTAGCTCCGTGTTCTTCATCCTGACAGAACAAGCAGGAATTAAAGGGCCAGCACCTGATTTATAGCACACGGAGAATAAAAATCATGGTAATTATCTAAAATAACGATTTCTCCCCAACACAAATCAACGTTTCACTAGACACATTCTGATTTATAACAAAAATTAAGTGTTTGTGGAGGTTTTTCCCAGCATAAACAATTCAAATAACAAGTCCTGAGCAATATAGTTCGATTTTTAGTAGACAGCCATGAGGGGCTGTTGCACAAATCCAGTGCTGAAGTATTAATAGTGTTTATCATTAGAATAAAACTGCATTCTTTACCTTGTATTTAAAGCATTATTTAAATTTGTTATAAAAAAGTGCATTTTTTACCTTTTCTTTTTTGCACTTCCATTCTGTAAAGTTATTAAAAAATATGGTTTTGCTAATTAAGATACCAACAAGCAGCATTTGCTGAATGCCAGGAACTGGAGTTCTTTTTCTGCAAATGGATCTTCTCCAGCCAATGTCTATTTTCCTGCTTCAGTTCAGTCTCTTATTACACAATAACATGTCATTTTAAGCTTCTAAATTTTATTGCAAGTTCTAAACCCACTCCTTTATACAATAAGCACTTAATTAGGTCTATTCTTGAAACAGGATAAAGCCAAATCCTGCACTTTTTGCTAATACCAGGAAAAATGCAGTTGATAGAAATATGGATAATGGGATCTTACCAGTTTTCAAAGATGAATTTCTTTCTCTCTCTCTACTTATTTTCCTGAAATGCAATAGAGAATATGCTTTGCACTTAGGAAGCAACAACAACAAAACCATAAAGACATACATCACATACGAATAATCAGCAGGTGAGGGAAATAATGAAGGAATTAATCTCCCAATTTCTTTATAAATTTTACGACTAGTTCATACTGAAAAAAAAGCCAAAAAATAAAATCCATTAAGATTTTATGCAATTAAAATTTGTAGGAGTTTAATGTTTGGGGTTTTTAAACTGGATTACAGTTTTTTAAATAGCAGTTGAAACTCTAAGGTTATAAAATAAGAATAATTCAGCAGTTTACTTGGTTTACACTATTGCAGCATTTTCTGATGAGTAAACTGGTGCTTATACCTTTCTTTGCAATTATCACAGAAATCTTAGAGCCATTAGTGAAGAATTACCACTAAAAAAGAATTACCCCTAAAAAAGCAAAAAGGGCTGATTAATTTGGGGTTCTAAAAAATGGGTAAATTTAAAATTAAGAAAAACACATTAAAATTATACATTTTGCTTACCAACTGCTATTAAATGATGCAGTGCTCTAAACCAGCACTCTGGGAACTGCAGCATTAGAAACGTGGAGGTTTTTAAAGTATTTATAAAACATTGTCCCCATCTCCCTCATTTTGTGCTTAAAGCCTGAAGTGTTTTTATAGCACGTTAAAAAGCAAACAGAGCTATGAGAACACTGAAAGTCACCCACAGACAACCTGTTCCACTAATATTTTACATCCACGTTACATCTCCTGTCCCAAACGGTTTCGCTCCTCCACGTGGGCTCTGCTCAGGTGCTGCACAAACCAGGGAGCAGGAGAGATCCAGGTGATGTTCCCAGGGTAGCGAGGAAAATTGGGCTTTTATTATTTCATGGGCAGGGACAGCATCATCCTGACATTAAATCTCCTTCAGAAAACATCTCCCACAGCTCAGAACTAGAGAGCAATCTGGATCTTAACACCGA